AATACATGCTGATGGCTGGACTGTCCAATCAGGACTGAGGCCCTGCTGAGGGGGCGGAGTTAATCAGGACAGCTCTTTTTTTAGTATTGTTTTTATTACTTTAACAGCAGAGACCTGACTGCTGATTGGTTCCTGTTAACAGGTGACCTGACTGCTGATTGGTTCCTGTTAACAGGTGACCTGACTGCTGATTGGTTCCTGTTAACAGGTGACCTGACTGCTGATTGGTTCCTGTTAACAGGTGACCTGACTGCTGTTTTTAGTTTGTCTCTGCAGGTGTTTTGTCCCACAGTGGTTCTTTTTGTTTGTTTTTGTGTTGTTGACCTGGTTGTGTTGTGTGTCCTTCAGTGGACCTGTGTGTAGTTGTCAGTCCCAGTTGAAGTGTTACCTGCTGAGCCGTTCTTTATTTAATGTGTGTTTACACCTGGTGTTACAGGAAGTGACGAGCTGAACTCTGAGCCCTTTCTTTCATCTTTGTGTTGTTACCTGTTGTGTGTTTGTTGCACAGTGGTGTGAGGCAGAACACCTGTGATAAACAGCAGGTGTTTCTACACAAACACTGTTGTTGTTGTTGTTGTTGATCACTTTAAATTCAGTCACCATTAAAAACAGTGAGTTTGTGTATTAATTTTAGTGTGAGTTGTGTTTGTGTTGTTACCTGTTGTGTGTTTGTTAAACTTTCACACTGCTGTTTTCCTGTTTCTCTTGATTTAAATCTAGTTTGTGTTGTTTTTATTTTAATACTTCAGAAAGGTTTAACCCTTCCAGGACCTTCAGGATGTTTGATCAAGTTAAACTTTTTGACAAGTTTAGCTTTTTTCTGCTACACAACAGCTAAAGTTTTCCTCTTCTTGTTCTTCTGCCAGTTTCAGCTCGTTTTAGCTGCTTTCATGAAAATTTCATCTTTTTGTGTTTATCTTGTAAGTTTTCTGCCACCTTTAACAGTTTTATTTATTTGCTCCTTTCACTTTCTTTTAAAGTTAAAAATGTGAAACAATAGTTGTGTGGCAGCAGCTGAGTGATCAACACATGCTGAGAGCTAATTAAAGATTCAAGATGGCTGCCAGAGCTAAAGTTCAAAACAAGTCACTGAAACCAGAAACCTTCATCAGCTTTATAGTCATAAATCAACCAGGCTGCTTCACAAAATACACACAATAAAACCTTTAAACGGTCCGACTTCTACAGAGTAATACTTATTAATACCAGTAGTACTAATTAAATATTAAACATTAATACTAGTTAAACATTAATACTAGTTAAACATTAATACTAGTTAAACATTAATACTAGTTAAACATTAATACTAGTTAAACAATAATACTAGTTAAACAATAATACTAGTTAAACATTAATACTAGTTAAACATTAATACTAGTTAAACATTAATCAGTGTAAAGGTTCAGTTTAAAGTGACGTTCAGAGTTATAAAAGTCTAAATGAAGTCAGGATTGTTCCTCAACAGGTTTCTGTTCAGACGTACAACCCTACCAGGACCTGTTCCCCTCAGACTGACACAGAGACGAGAGACCACCTGAGACCACTAGGACACCTGAGACCACCAGGACACCTGAGACCACCAGGACACCTGAGACCACCTGAGACCACCAGGACACCTGAGACCACCAGGACACCTGAGACCACCTGAGACCACCAGGACACCTGAGACCACCAGGACAACCAGGACACCTGAGACCACCAGGACACCTGAGACCACCTGAGACCACCAGGAC